ACCTTTCGCAGGTGCCAACAAGAAAAACATAGTCGTCAAAAACACGTCCTCCTCATGACAACCGGCACTTGAAGAGCAGCGGTAGCACCAAAAGAGAAGGTCATCTTCCGGAAAAACCAGTTTGTTCGATATGAAAACGGCGTTCTAGTCAGATCTCGGCAAGCGCCATTCTGGAGATCCTCACCGATGTGCGGCTGGTGTTGCTTGTCAGAAGAAAAGGACAATAATCCGGAAACAGCCATTTCTTGTGATCGAAAAACAATGAATCCAACATTCTAGTCAGCACCCGAGCAGCAGCTTTTTTTCGGAGCTTCGCGCTGATGTGCTGGTGCTGTTCGTCAACAGAGAAATACAATAACTGTTTAAAAAAAAAAAAAAACTAGTGATACATTTCATGAATAAAAGGAGACCGGCGAGGAAGCCGCCTTCGCCTAAAACGTCAACACAATGAAGCCCGATTCAATTTTAACAATGCGATGGAGGAATGGCGTGAAAATCGGGCAGCAGTCCCGACTCGCTGCCCAGCCGCAGGCGGCAGATGTCGACCGCTAACGAAGCAGATGCTCGACGGGTCGAGAGGAAAGGCGACATGGTGAGATGAAACAGACGGAAAGACCTCTGCCACCAATTAGCGTTTGTCCGCGTGAGACCGCGTCCGTGCCGTGACATCATCATCGCCGCTTAAATGTCCAGGAAGGTTGCTGAATCGGCGTGACTGTCTTTTTTTTTTAAACGTCATGACTTTTTTTTCTTTTTTTTTTTTATATAACATTCACTTAGTTTAATTTAGTTTTTAGATCTGATTTGTTCATTTATTAGATTTAGTATTAGTTTTGGGTTTTTTTCTTTAATATATGGAGTATTTAGTGAACGCAAGGATCTGTAAATTAAAATTATTTAAAAAGATTTTTATACATAAAAAAAGTTTCAAATTTCATTTCGTTTGTTAAACTTCCTTTTTTTTTTCTTTTTCATTTAATTTCGTGAACAAAAACGGTTTCTTCAGTGTTCTTTTTCTTTTTTCATAATTTTTCGATAACCAACTATAACGTCGCTCTCCAGCACATGTTACTTTTTCAGTTTCTGGAATTTTTGCTTCTCAGGAACACTTCAATAATATAATCACACACATTATGGCCCGACAACATGGACATTGTTTTCCTTCTTTTTTTTTTTTTTTGCATTTTTCTCTGTGTGAGCAAGAACCGGATTGAATTTGAACACTCTCCAATGCAATCGAATTGACGTTGTTGGCCAGCGGGCTGGAAGGAATGACAAGCCGCCTTTCCGACACGCCCGCGCCCTCTTTAAAGCCTGCTTGATGATGCCGGCACACGCCTCTCCATATGTGAGCTCTGCTTCCGTGTCCTTCATTCCCACTCAAGCGCACGTGTGGGACTTGGCAACGAGGCAAGTGTCATTTGGAGTTTTTCCAAAAAATGGCCACATCGATCCAGCTACACTTGGCTTCAAGCGTCCAATGGCATTTGTTCATGTTCGTAAATAAGTCATGTCACCAACATGCATTTGCATTCTATTTTGGTCTGCTTCATGTTTATTTTCGGGTGCAATTCCGTTGGCAACCGCCTCATGGTGGCACACGGTTTTGTTTGACACCGGACAACAAATGGGACCACAGAAGAAAAGGTTTCCACAAGATGAATGAATGTCAACCCTCTTCAATCCTGATTTTTACGCCGACACAAAGCGATGCCTGTCGGTTGATCTTATCCATCCATCCATTGTCAGAGCCACTTATCCTCGCAAGGGTCACGAGTGTGCTGGAGCCTCTCCCAGCTGTCTTTGAGCAGTAGCCAATCGCAGAAGTTGATTTTTTTTTTTTTGGGATCCTTTTTTTATTTATTCCTATTGATATTATCTTTTTTTTTTATGGTATAACTTTGGGCGTGGTTATTGATGTATATTGTGAGATCATACGTTGAAAAACAAAAACAGGATTGACTTTATAAGTGAGGCCAATTTATGAATCCAGGCCCTGACTTTTTTTGGAAATGATTGAAAAAAACAAACAAACAAACAAAAATGTCATTTTTCACATTTTCAGCAAAACATGACATGTCCATTGAAATGGAGGCATGGCATGGCGGGACTGACGATGCGATGAGTGCTGAAACTATCAGTTCACTCTCTAACTTTTGACATCCTCTCGCCACGCTGAACATCAAGTCACGTGCTGCTGCGCTCCCTGCATGACTGCCTGGAGTATCATCCCCTCGCACAACGCCCCCGCGCCTGCTCCACATCACATCGTGTTTACGTTGTCACGGTGAGGGAGGCCCAATGCTTGCTGACAATTGCCAGTCAAAGTCAATCAGTCTGAATGATGATCCCCTCCCTCAATGCCTTTGATCAAATCATGACTGCTATCCATCTCCAATGCTTTTCCCCACAAAAAAACATCATATGCCCATCCAGCCGCATTGACCATGTGTCAAGCTCTCTTTAAATTGGGTAAAGTGGTCATAAGGTCATTTTCCTGCCGCCCGTTGGACTTTTAAGGCAGAGCTTTGCGCAAACTCTGAGCGAATCCCGCTGCCTTTCCTTCCACCTTGGAGGGTTTTTTCCCCTCTTTTGACCGTGCAAAGAAGTCTCAAATGAGCCAGTGAGGGGATGCCAGAGTAGGGGTGATGTGCTCCCTCTCACGAGCACCAGTAAAGAATTAAGCAGCAGCATTCTGGACCAACTGGAGACACTTCATGGAGGAGTGACTGACTCCAAAATAAAGTGCATGACAGTAATCCAGCTGGGACGTGACGAAGCAATGAATGACTGTTTCAAAGTGCCCACCAGAGAAAGGAGAAACTTGACTTGAGCCGGCTATCTAAGATGAAAGAAACCGGACTTAACAATGGCACCAATTTCAAATCACTGTGCAGTTTAAGGCCCAATTTTGAGACTGTTGGCTTCAGCTAAGGAGCCAGCGGGCCCAAATCCGCAGGCTGGCATGGACAAGGGCCATTGGTGACAAACACCATCACTTCTGATTTCTTTTCATTGAAATTCAAGACATTCACTGCCATCCAAGTCTTGAGACCTTCAAAACCTCATTAGCGCTCCAAGAATCAAGCTTGGCAAATATGTAGCGCTCTCTTTATATATATATATATATATTCATAAACACCCACACTATATGCTTACTACGTTAGCCATACATGCAATTTACTGTATCCATACAGTAAAAGTATGCTGTCGGCTTTCAAACTCACCCACTCATCACCCCCTCCACCAAGGTAACAACCAGTCGTTTGCCCTCCACGTTACATAAACAGTGTGTGTGTGTGTGTGGGGGGGGGGGGGGGGGGGGATAAATCCATTTTAAAAAATAGATAATCGTTCCGCCTCTCAGGGTGAAGGTGGATAATCCAGAGGGAAGGATATCTCGGCGGCACCAATTTATTCAGACTCTTCATTTAATAACGGCTGACATCAGAAGTTTTTCACCAGCCTTAGCTGACACCTGAACGAGAGAGGGGAGGGCTCGGGGGGGGGGGGGG